ATAGTTCTCTTTCCTCTAGGGATGGCTGCGGCGCGTGCACGCTCCTGCCAGAATCGAGCGCGCGCGCGCGCCGGCTTTCCAGGGCGCGCCGTGCAACGCCGTGCAGGTTGAGAGTCAGCGCCCACGCCACCGCCCGCGTTTCTGGAGACTCAGCGCGCGGCAGTGGCGGTCCCGGAGTCCATCGCCCTCTCCTCCCCCTCCTTCTCCGACTCCTTCCTCTCCTCCTCCCCGCCCCGCCGTCTTCGCAGCCACTTTAAGGCCCAAGCCGCTGACGTCCCAGCTTGGCCCGGGACTCCCGCCCAGACAGCGCCGAGAAGGCAGGATTGGCGCAAAAAGCCCGAATGGTGGCACCTCGCGCCCCTGTCCTCGAAGGCGACTCCCTGCTCCCCGACTGTGTCTGGGTCCAGAGGTGAACAATCGCCCCAAGCCAGACCTTTTCCTTGGATGTGGTCCGAGCAGACATTGCCGAGCCGGATCCAGGCGTGGCGACGAGAGGGCCCCCTGGAGGCCCAAGACGGGCCAGGGCCAGCCTAGAAGCTCGATCCCCGAAGCTCTAAGTCGGGCGTGTCCCCCTACAGGAGGAATCTCTTAAAATAGTCAAAACAATAGTCTGAGGACGATTCGTTGAGTTTTTTTTCGTTATTTGGGAGGATTCTTCGACTATGTTTCATCCTTCTTCCGAAAATCCACCTACTAGGGGGACATGCCCGACCTAGCCGAAGCTCGGCCCCCGCAGCTCCATCCTCCAAGGCGACGCCCTGCTCCCCGACAGCGAGCCCGACTCGGACGAGGCCGCCGCTGGCAGCCTGGCGCCCCGGCGCCCGGGCACTGGCAGAGCGACTCCCCACCAGACAAGTCGACGGAGGGAATCTGGTGATCGTTTTTGTCGTTCATAGTTTTTTGCCGATCGGCGCGGGCCCTCGCACCCCCCCCTCCCCTCCGTGGAGTAGATCTGGGCTGTTTTGGGCGCCCGTTTCGAGCAGGTGGGGTCTCCCCCATGGGACCTAGGGCGCACGGTTCCAAACAGTCGCATTAAGCAGAGGTCCAGAGCCGGACCTCCACCCCTCCCCCCTTTCGCCCAATTCCGAAACGCCGAGTAAAAAACGCTCACCTGCGCGGGTTCACGCTCGACCATGTCGGAGGCCCGGAGGTTGGCACCAACGCCAAGATCGGCAGTGTGCCTCCACCGAGGGAAGCTGATCCCAATCCGGTGGTGGTGGTTCTAGCTCCGGGCCTCCTGGGGGGCCGAAAGCTGACCACCCACACCGCCATCTATAGGACCACCTTTCCCCAGTGCACGCAACTCCCTGCTTTGGCCTCGGCGTCCATCTCCAAGCCTCCAACACCGGCACTCTTCAGGAGGGAAAAAAACACACAGACACAATGAATCCTCGATTCCCAGGAAAATATGGGAAAATATGGGAATTGGGGGGGAAGACAAAAACCCAGAAAATATGGGAAAATATGGGGACTATTTTTATTTGTGTGTATTTATTTGTGTGTCCTAATTTCCCTTTAACTCTGAGTGTGCCGGAGCCGAGTGGCGCGCCGTCCTCGGAGCCCGAGGGCCGCCTGCGCGCCGCTCGTGCTCGCCCGCTCCCTCGGCGGGCGGGCGCCTCTGCGGCCTGCTCCTCCTCCTCCTCCTCCTCCTGCTCCTCCTCCTCCTCCTGCTCCTCCTCCTCCTGCTCCTCCTCCTCCTCCTCCTCCTCCTCCTCCTTCCCCTCCTCCTCCTCCTCCCTCTTCTCCTCCCCCTCCTCCCCTCTGCTCCGCTGGCGCTGCCGATTGCAAAGAGTGCGTGTCGGGGCATGCGGTCCCCAGTCGGTTTCGCCAGTCGACGTGCGTTTCGCCAGATCCAGTCGGTTGCCTTCGGGCGCCGATTGGCCACCCCGCTGGGGGTGCACTCCCAATTTGTGGTGCCGTGCGCGCGTGGAGGGCCCCTGGCAGCTTTCACTAGAGGTCGGTTCGCTAAAGGGGGCTCCGAGGGGGGGGGACAATTCTTGAGTCGGGCATGTCCCTCTACAGGAGGACTATCCAAAGATAGTCAAGACATGGTCTGGGGACGATTTTTTTTGCATTCTGGATGTTTTACAGCGTTTGCTGGTTCTTTTTTTCATTTTTCCTTCAAAATCGCCTGTAGGAGGACTCCAGGAGGACATGCCCGTCCTAAGACAAGTCCAGACGGCCTGTTGAAATCGTTTGCCAGTGGGCAAACATCAAATAATCTTGGGCCTCTGATTCCCGATCATTGTTTTCTCTGGACGGGGTTCGACTGCCGCTTCCCCCCTCGTGGAGGGTGGGACGCTCGGGGAAAAACGAGGGTGTCTATCGGACGGGGCTAGGACGAGGACAGATCCGCTCCAGAGCGCTAAGGAGCGCTCTCAGAGCGTTCCAGAACGCTCTGAGAAGGCCGCGGCGCCCGAGGCATCCTCCAGAGTCCCCTTGATCTCAGAGATTCTCGATGTATCCTCACCCGACGTGGTCCTCGTTCTGGCTTCGTCTTTCATCTTTGCACAATGCCGAATGGAGTGCGCAAGCTGAGGTTCGACTTGTTGTTTCTCGTCTGACGGCGAGTGTGGATATGTTTCATGATCAGAGCGTCACTAGTCGCGAGTGGCGGCGGGAGCCGTTGCGTGCAAGCTATGGGGTTCTCAGAGATTCTCGACATATCCCCACCCGATGTTGTCCTCGTCCTGGCTTCGTCTTAGTTCAGGAGGGCAAGAGGCCCGCAGACACAATGACCTTCGACTCCCAGGGAAAGATGGGAAACTATGGGAAGTGGGGGGGGGAGACGAAAGCCCAGACAATATGGGAAAACATGGTGCATCCTGGGATATGTGTCTATTTATTTGCGTGTCCCAGGGCTCCTCTAGTAGTGTCCACCAAAAGTTCAACACCCGAGGGGGTCTGGGGTGCACGGTTTTCCCTGGAACCGTAGGCGACCCGAGGAGGAGGAGGAGGAGGAGGAGGAGGAGGAGGTGGAGGAGATGAAGGAGGAGGAGGAGGAGGAGGAGGTGGAGGAGGAGGGGGAGGGGAGGAGGAGGAGATGGAGGAGAAGGAGGAGGAGGAGGAGGAGGAGGAGGAGGGGGAGGAGGAAATGGAGGAGGAGGAGGAGGAGGAGGTCCGTAGCTTTTGGCTCAGGCTCAAGCCATTTTGGCTCAAGTAAACTATTTCTCGAGGTGATTGAGGATCTTTCCATTCACCCGCGGGTCCCACAGGTGACTGCCCAGTCAGGGACTCCGCTTTATATTGTTCCTTTCGGTAACCTCAGAATCCCTGAGGCAACTTTGTGGCTCAAATCGACCACCACCAGCTCAGCCCCCGCTCTCCAGCCATGGGCAAGCCCGTGGGGCAGTCAGGAGGCCGTGGCGGCCCTCGTGACTACGGGTGGACGTGTGGTACATGCCAGGCGTCGACGTCATGGAACTTATCGTGGTGCTGGCAGTGCGGCGCCCACTGGCGCAATACAGCTTGGAGCTCCCTCCAGCAGAGCCCCAGAGGAGGTATAGGCGCTCAGCAGTCGGAGGAGCGTGAAGAAGGCCGAGGTCGAGGCGGGCGAAAGTCCAAGGGACGAGGTCGCCGCCGTGGCGGCTCACCAGCGCCAGTCGACCAGGCCAAGCCGCCCAACCCCACAGATGCTCCTCCTGCTGAGTCTGTGCAGCGCCCTCCGTCTGAAGCCGACGTGGACGTCTCCATGGATGGCGGAGCGGCCAGCACCAACGCACCTATCGGACAACGTATTCAACTCTTGCAGAATGCGCTGGACATGCTCATCGGAGACGGTGACGGGGATCAGCCAGCGGCCCAGGCGTTGCGGACGAAGGTGGCATCACTCCGTGCGGAACGTGATTCAGGCAAGTCTGCATCACATAATCTACTGGTGGCCAGCAGCAGGCTGCAGAAGCTCGAGCGCCAGGTCGCATCTTGCAAGACCACCCTCAGCCTGCAGGACACCAAGGTCCAGAACGCGAAAGCCCACCTCCAGCAACAAGAAACGCCACTTCAAGATGCCCATCAAAACCTTCAGGAAGCAGAACAAACGATACAATAATGCTATATATATATAGAAAGAGAGAGAGAGAGAGAGAGAGAGAGACATCCTCCAGCCGCTTGCGAGTCAAGAAGAGTCCACGAGCTAAGAAAACTGACTCTTTGGCCTCACTAAAGATGAAGTGGAACGAGTGGCAGCAGATAAGATCGTGCAGCGAGGAGGAGATGCTCAGAAGGTCAAAGAAGCACTGGATGTATTGGCCCCGATACTTGGCGAACCTAGCCAGCCACCGGCCGAACCAGCTGTTCCTGCACAACTTGACCCAGCTGAACTTCCAGTACCAGTCGGGGCACCACCCGCGCAGCAACGCGGAGATCAGCGAAGTGAGCAACTGGTTCGAGCGGCACGCCAAGGTGAACCCAGAGGCGAATCGCTACGTGAACGGAGCCGCCGAGGACGGGGCAAACGAAGTGAGCCTGAGCCTGCGCGCCCTGAGCCTAAGGCCAAGTCTGCTGCCACCCTTGCGCAGGCCTTCCAGCTGAGGAGCAGGAGGATCTCTAGCATTACTAATCACAAGGATCCGACCCATACCCCCGCCTCTGGACGTCCCCCCGACCCTCCTCACCCTGTGTCGGGCGGACCTTCGTTCCAGATCATTACCATCAATGCCTCGCGTCGGAAGCGAGCCCTGGAGCACGCCAAATGTTCCAAGGCGCGTGTGATTTTAGTCCAGGAGCACATGTTACACCAGGACAAAGTTTTGGAAGCCAACAAACTTGCCTTCTGGCAGGATGGGGTAGCTTTTGGGCCCCAGCATGCATGACTGCGAGTGGGCCACCCCTCAGGTGGAGTGGCCACACTGTACAGACGCTATCTGGACTTTTGGCCGGATCCTAAGCAATGCGTCGTCTCCCCAGGCAGGATTCTCCACGCGTGCTGTCGCCGTCGAACCCTCGGGGTGGTCAGCGTCTACTCGAGCTACTGGCTCACTATTATCGGACTGGGGAGTGAGAACCTCCACTTGTGTAAACAGCTTGGTAGCCATGTGCTCACACGTTGGTTGCCCTTCATGTCGGGCGGCGATTTAAACATCACCCCAAACGAGTCCCCGGTCGGCCTGGAGCCAGGCAGGTTCGGCGCGGACCTCATTTTTCGATCCTCTCCAGCCGACGTGTCACGTCGAGGACGCGCAGCGCACTTTGGAGTACTTCGTTGCCAGCCGCACTTTGTCGAAGGCGTTCCTCTCGATCGGGACAGACCTGGACAACGATGCCTCTCCCCGCTATGCTGTGGACCTCCATGTGACAGCAGAACTTTTCTTCGTTCAATTTGACCGCCTGTGCAGGCGCGAAATGTTCCCAGCTCAGTGGCCTGTAAGGCCCAGTCGCCAGACACCAGATTATTCCAAGCTGGCGTCCGAGATTCAAGAGGCCCTGGAGAAATTTCAATTTCCAGAAGGATGCCGCACCCCCAACCCTGATGAAAAAGATTGGCGTGGAGAAGGCCCTCAACTTGGCGTGCGACGGGTGGTGCACTCAGGTTTGGGAGGAACTTAGAGGGGTCTACCACTGCGAGGATGGTCAGGGCCGCCAAGGCGGCCGCCCTAACGAAGCGGAAACTGTGGACCACAGGAAGGTGCTCATCACGAATCAGACCCCAGACCCTCGGAAAGTAGATGCGTGGGCTGGCTTTTCAGACGCCTCAAGGAATTGAAGACCCTCCTTCACGACCCAACCAAGAGGTATCAGGTTGCCACCCAGAAGCTGATTCAGCACGCGAAGAGGATTGTGAAGACAGGAGGACCGTTCGCGAATTTATGGCCTCAAGGGCGAGGTTTTGCGCAAGTCTTTCTGGATTCTGCCCCTTCTCCGTCGCCCAACGGCACCATTGAGCGCTGCATGGCCACTTGGCCAAAATCTGAGCTAGGAGAAGGGCAGGCCGAGCCTGTTGTCAGCCTTGAAATTACCATAGACAGCTCGGCCGAACTTGAAGCGATTCTCCTTGCCAAAGAGCGCGGACGTCAGCGGGGAAAATGGAACGCGCGATGTCAGGAAGCTCTGGCGGGAGGAGCTTCAAGGGCCCATCAGTGCACGACGCTGTTTTTTGATTTTAATGAAGAGATTGTGGCCCTCCCCGATGGGCCCCTTTCCGCTTCCTTTTTCAGCAGATTCGGAAAACAGGTGCAGCTCTGGAGTGAGGCCTGGGGTGCTACCAGTGTTTGTCGGGACTTGACGCTGGGAGGAGAGGCCCAGGTGGTGGTCCCAGGCGGGCCCGGCGTCGAAGGCATCAGGAACCCGTCGCGGAGCTTCAAGGTTGCCACGATAGCTATTGACGGAGGACTGGGTGTTCTCTCGAGGGTCTGCACCGCGATGGGCATCCTTGGGAATGCGCCCTCCGCTCTGAGAGAACTCGCCGTGGCCCCTTACAGGCAGCCAAAAAAGGTCAGCGGCCCACCGGATTTTTCCAGTCCACCACCAGGCTCTACTCCAAAGGACTTTCCAATGCCTGTCGGCCCTGGGAGTCGGCCTCGGGTTCTATCAAATGTTTCAACATGGCCCCGCACAGGTCAACGACTGATGCTGTTTGGACCAGGCGGTTCGCAATGACCTCCATCACAATCAAGGAAAGTGCGTGGGGTCCTCTTGGCCGATCCTAAACAATGTTATGAGCGCGTTTCGTGTCAGCTGCTCTGGGGGGGGCTCACTTCCCTGCCTATGCGCTCCGATTCACCATCGCCAGCTACCGCTGGCCCCGCCGCCTTATGATGGGCTCGGTTCTTAATGGCCCCATCCACCCCCAGAGGGGGATTGTGGCGGGTTCCTCTACCGCGGCCTATGAAATAAAAGCGCAGATGGCCCCGAACATCTCAGCTACCAGCCTAGGCCAAGATGAGGACCTCACCGTTCATATTGACGACGTCACGACGCCGGTGGCCACGCCGACCGTCGAGACCTGCCTGAACAGCCTTGCCAGTCTGGCGGGACAGGTGTTTGACCTGCTCACGGACACATAGGAGCTCCCCATTGCCCTCCAGAAAATGCAGTTCACTACCAATTCGCAAGAGGTGGCAACAGTTGCCCCCAAGGCCCTGGGAAAATATAGACCCACCATCTCTGGGCACGTGGTCAACCTAGGGGTGGATTTCACTGCCAGCACGGCCCCAGCCAGCAAACACGCCAGGGCTAAGAACACATCGCGTTGGATCTCTGCCAAAAAGCGCCTCCAAAAAATCAGCAGGCTCAGGGGGGGGGGGGGCAAAGCCAAGACGGGTAAACTCTTTGTTTGTGCTCTTAAACCCAGCATCACCTACGGCGAGGCAGTTCAAGGGCACCCCCCTAAGGAACTCAGAGCCCTCAGGCTCCAGATGGCCAAAAGCATCGGGCTTTGGGGAGCGGGGGCGAATCTGGGCCTTGCCGAGTGCCCCCAGCCTAGTAAAGACCCAGTGGTGCACAAAGGGGCCACTCTCAAACGTTTTTGCGATGAGTGGTGGTCTACCGCTGACGCTGATGGGCGCGCCAAGGACGCGCTCTCGGCACGGGAGTTAAAAGAAGCGCGCGAACTGGCGCAGCGCAGGTTCACCGCCCATGCCAAGGAGGACCGTTGGCATCTTGTGGCCAACAGTCCGCTGAGCGATACGTTTTCTGGCGCAGGCAAGCGTCGTCGACTTTTGTGGACCATGCGAGCGCGACCGCGGCCCAAGGCATCGAATGCAGCGCGGCGCTGGCCCCGCCTGCCCAGATTCCGGATTTGTTTGGCACAGACCTACAGAGGTCGTTGCTCCAAGGGGCCGTCCGCGAAAAAAACTGACCGAAGGGGTCGAATCGGACAGGGCTGAAGCCACCCAGTCTAACGAGCTTGGAATTCGACCAGGCACAGGGTACAGGACATGCAGATCGTGTGGCAGGTCTTCACGGGATGCTACCCGACTGCTGCTCTGCTGCGCAGGCGAGGATACCAGGTGTATCCAAAGTGCAAGCACAGCGACTCCATTGACAGCACCTTTCGCAGGGTTTGGCTTTGTCCCTATGGGGAATCTCTCCACCAAGAGCTGGACCCAGGCTTGGTTCAAGAAGCTCTGAATGCGGGGCCGCAAGGCCCCCTCTTCAGTTGCTTATGGACGGAACAGCCTGCCATTGCCAACTCCCCTCCCACGCAGGAGATTGTTGAACATCATGACAAAAGGGGAAAGTCGAACCCTTCACCTTTGATGGTCCCGAGTCCGAGATTTCTGTTGACGGTTCCGTCGCGCACCCAGCGACCCCACTTCTCGCGCGGGGGGGGCTGGTGCGCTGTTGAGGTGGATCATTTAGGGGATCTCAGAAGGGCGGTCAGAGGAGCTATTCCAGGATATGTTCTGTGCAGTGCGAATATATCCGAGCTCCGCGGGCTGCTCCAGGTCTGCGCTCACCTGTCCCCGCAAGAACAGCAGTTTCGCATCCTCCAGGACTGTGCGTCGGTAGTCCACGGAGCTGCGGTGCCAATCCGCGCAAGAGATGGCCGCCGACAGCAGGCGGGTCATTGGAGGCAGTTTCATCAGCTTACTAACTTTCAGGGTTGGACGATCCAGCGAATCAAGGCCCACCAGAGTCTTTACAGGGGAGATAGGCCCTTTGAAGAACACAAGAGCGTCCTTGCGAATGCGTGGGCCGACGCCCTTGCTAAGGAAACTGCCACAAGTCAGCTCAACCCCAATCGACATCGAAGTAGTTGAAGCGGCCTACAAAACATGGCTGCAGGTTCTCCATGCCTTTACTTCTGTTTTGGGGTCTTGGGGCAAAGCGAGGGGTGTCTTTTGGGAACTCCAGAAAAGGCCCAGAGCCCCGACCCCCATGGCCCCAGGACGCCTCATACATGTTTTCCGTTGGACTTTAAATAGGTGGCAGTGCATCCACTGTGGCAGAGCGACTGCCCTCCCATGGACTTGCCACCGCCGCTCGTGCGTCCCGTTGCCCAGCTCGCTCGCTCAATTTCTGACCTGTGGGGACCAACCGACGCCTCCCCATGTCCTTTGGGGAGCCCAGATCCAGACGTCGGGTGCCCCAGTCATCTTCTGTGTGAAGTGCGGATCGTACCTCACAGGGAAAGCGGTCGGCCTTGCGGCGGGCTGCACTAAAATGAAGAAGCAGCAGATCCGCATACTAAAAGCATGCACTTTGCCGCACCCGCGAGGGACTCGCATTCCAAGGCCGTGGCGGATCGAGACGGGGAGCATACTTGTCAGCCAGTTGGAGCGACAGGTAGTTGCTCCATAATTTCATATTTTCTGGCACGGTGTCGTGCCCGCCCCCGGCCCCTTTAGCTCGGGTCGCCAGGAGGCTTCGAGGTAGGCTTGATGTACTTCTCTTTTCGCCGTCTATGTCTGTAGGAGGAGGAGGAGGAGGAGGAGGAGGAGAAGGAGGAGGAGGAGGAGATTGAGGAGGCGGGGGAGGAGGAGGAGGAGAAGAGGAGGAGGAGGAGGAGGAGGAGGACGGCGACGGGTCGCCTAAGCCCTTCCGAGGGGGCTTTGGGACGAGGCGCCGCGCCTGGGCCGCCGCGGCGGGCCTGGCGGCCGCCGCCGGCGCCCTCGCGCTGCTCTCTGCGGGGCGCGGCGCGCCCGCGGCGCTGCCGGCCGCGGCCGGGCGCGGCTCGCTGCGCGACGCCGTGATCCTGAAGGCCGAGGATCCTTTCAGTCAGGCAGTGTCGAAGCGTCCTGGCTCGCCCATAGTCTAGGCATCTGATGTTCCAACGTACTCTGGCCTGAAGCGCCAGCAAGAGTTTCGAGCACCATAGAATTTAGCACCGGAATTCGAAGGTCTTGACGTGCCGGGCCCCGGGAGACACTCGTTCGACACTGCTTCGACACTGTTTCGACACTTTTCTGGGTGTTCGAAATTATTTAGGGGACGTGGTCCTTGAATACGATGGGAGCAACATCAGTCTAGGCATCCCAGATAGGGTCGGAGCAGATGGGGTCGGCGGATCGCGCCGCATCGCCGATGCATCGACGATGCGGCTCGATGTGGAGCCCGATTTTGTCCACGCCGACTTCGCCGATGCATCTCCCACGTCGGCGATGCATCGCCCGCGCCGATGCATCGCCGATGCATCGCCGATGCATCGCCCGATGCATCGCCGATGTATCGCCGATGCGGCGCGATCCTCCGACCCCATCTCCTTGGACCCAACCTAGAAGGCTTCCATATAGGCCCACCAAAGAATGTTGTAATAACCTATTGTGGTCTGCACGAAATGTTTTCAGAACCTAGCGTGGCTGAGATTGTTTTGTTTCAGCATATCGGGCTTGTGTTCTAAGAACATTGTTCCCCACATCCAAAGTGCGGTTCTTGCTTTCTTTGGACACCCCGCGCAGGAACAGGATGGAAGGAACACCTCTTCTCTTTTCACTCACACATTCACACACTCACAGCATCATCACATCATCAACATCACTGACACACCACTCACTCACAGTCACCCGACCACTCCCATTCACTCACTCACGCTCATTCACTTATCCTGAGTGGTTCACTCACTCACGACTACTACTACTGATCACTCATTAGGCCTGGCTATGGAGGATGTATGGGGTGGAAGCCTCGTCTGCGAGTGAATCGCGAGGAAGTCTCAGGCGGGAGCCCCTTCTCTATGGGGCTCGCACTTCATGTTCGAACCCGAGGCGGGTCGTCGGCCTCCTGTACCCGTCGTCACTTTTGGGCTCCTGAGGCCTGAATATGGAGGGAGTATGAGGCGGGAGCCTCGTTTGTGAGCGAGTTGCGAGGGAAGTCTCAGGCGGGAGCCCCTTCCCTATGGGGCCCGCGCTTCATGTTGAATCCGAGGAGGGTCATCGACCTCTTGTAACTATCGTCACTTTTGAGTTCCTGAGGCCTGAATATGGAGGAAGTATGAGGCGGGAGCTTCATCTGCGAGTGAATTGCGAGGAAGTCTCAGGCGGGAGCCCCTTCTCTATGGGGCTCGCACTTCATGTTCGAACCCGAGGCGGGTCGTCGGCTTCCTGTACCCGTCGTCACTTTTGGGCTCCTGAGGCCTGAATATGGAGGAAGTATGAGGCGGGAGCCTCGTCTGTGAGCGAATTGCGAGGGAAGTCTCAGGCGGGAGCCCACTCCTAATGGGGCCCGCACTTCCTGTTCGAACCCTGGCGGGAGCCTCGTCTGTGAGTTAATTGCGAGGGAAGTCTCAGGCGGGAGCCCCTTCCCTATGGGGCCCGCACCTCGCGTGCTTTCTCCGGGTCGTCCTCCGGCGCGCGCTTCCTCTGGGTCGTCCTCCAGCGCGTAGCCGTAGGGACGCACGTCGTGCGTTTCCTCTAGGTCGTGTTCCGCACGAGGAGGAGGAGGAGGAGACGGAGGAGGAGGAGGAGGAGCGGAAGAGGAGGAGGAGGAGGAGGAGGAGGAGGAGGAGGAGGGAGGAGCGGAAGAGGAGGAGGAGGAGGAGGCAGTACGAGAAAGAGAAGGAGGAAGAGGAGGAGGAGGCAGAGAGGGAACAGGACGATGAGGAGAGGAGGAGGAGGAGGAGGTGGAGGAGGAGGAGGAGGAGGAAGAGGGGGAGGAGGAGGGAGAGGGAATACCTTAGGAAGCCCCAGGAGGTCCTGGGATGCCCAGAAGGCTCCAGGAGGCTCCAAGAGGCCCCAGGAGGCCCCAGGAGGCTCCAGGAGGCAGGCGGCCTAAGGAGGAGGCAGGAGGAGGAGGAGGAGGAGGAGGCAGGAGGAGGAGGAGGAGGCGGAGGAGGAGGAGGAGGAGGAGGGGGAGGGGGAGGAAGATGGAGACGAGGAGGAGGAGGAGGAGGGAGAGAGGAGGAGGAGGAGGAGGAGAAGGAGGAGGCAAGAGGAGGATGAAACAGGGGGTGAGGCAGGGAGAGAAGCAGGCAGGAGTAGAAGGAGGAGGCTGGAGTAGGTGGGAGAAGGGAGGGGGCAGGAGGATATCCCCAGGCAAGTTAAACATATTCTCATGCGGGGTTCTACCGTCGGAGTGTTTTCTGTTCGTGCAACAACTTGGGGTTCTAAGAACATTTCGTGGCAGGCCTATAGGGATGCCGGGACGGTCGCCCCCTGCTCAATTCGGAGAAGCGTACATGGAGGCTGGAAAAAGTGATTGGGGCCGGCCCTTACACTCATTCCAGCCCTGGCCAGTTTCCCGTTTTGTTCCAGCCCTGGGTGCCGCATCCCTGCTGTTTCGGGCTCGCTTCCTCCGCTGCCAGTGTTTCCAGCCCTGGCCGCTTCCACTTTCACTGATTTTCCAACCTCCATTTTTTCCAGCTTCCCTGCAAGACTCGAGTACGCCAGAAATCGGGGTTTCCGATGCCGTTGCACGAGCGCGTCTTAGGTTTTGACGGTCCAGTCTTCGTGGGATGTTTGCAGCGGGAGTTCGCGTCAAATTTCAAGTTCGCGGGAACTCGGGTTTGCCGACGATTTCGGACCGCCAGAACTCGCGTTTGCCGACGATTTCTGACGTAAGACTCGAGTAAGTCAGGACTCGCGTTTGCCGGCGCTTTTTTGACGAGCGCGTCCCAGATTTTGACGGTCCAGTTTTCGTAGGATGTCTGCAGCAGGAGTTCGCGTCAATTTTCATAGTGGGTCTCGTTATTCGCATGATGGCCGCGTCAGGCCAACCCGAGTACCCCGAACCGGAGTCAAGCGTCTCCCCGACTCTTGAAGAGGGAAAATCCTCGCAGAAAGAAAGGTGCCCACACCGCTACCCTGGCCTCGTTTTCGCCTTCTTGGGTCTCCTGGGAGGCCCTCGCCGCCACCGCTGGATTCGCCTCGACGTTCTGGTCAAAAAGCACCCCGGGCTCCCCAAACACAGGCTCCTCTGGGAGCGAGAAATCCAGATCCTTCGGGAGGGCAAGTCCATGATCTTTTTTTGGAGATGGACAACCGAGGCTCCTCTGGGAGGGAAGATGCCGAGGGCCGAGGATCTTTTTTGGGAGGGACAGCTGCTTGACCGTCCGAGAGAGGTCGGCGCGGATTTCTCGCACCGGCGCTGGGCGCTTCTGGCGGCTCCTCACGGCACCCCCCCCTGGCGCGCACCGCACGCCTCCGAAGGGGGCCCCAGCGACGGTGCAACAAGGCTGCAATGCACCCGAGTCCCTGCAAGTATGTCTTTTGCCCATGCGGAGAGAGCGCCCCAGCGAAAGACGAATGCCCTATTGAGGCCCGATGTCCAAGCGAGGGCATTGGGTGTGGAAGGTAACCGCCGTCCAGAATGCAAACAGCAGAAAAGTGAACTTGCAAGATTTATGTGAGCGACCGTCAAACAACGGGTCTTACGCGAGCTGGCGCAGCGACCTTACGCGGCGGCTGACGCGGGCCTCCAGCGCGGCACGCTGCAAGACATCGGCGCGAACCTCAGGGAAATTACGTTTATGCCGTTTTGTGCTTCTGAACATGAGTTGGCCCTTGCCTCTTTTGGTTTTTGCCCTTGCCTTGGTTTTGGCCTATGTGGGCATCCTGGGAGAACCTCGTCGCCACCGCTGGATTCGCCCTGACCTAGAAAGCACCCCGGGAAGGGCCATGGGAGCAGCAGTACCGGGAGGGAACATCTATAAGACTGCCGCATGGTTTCGGAAGTTGCGGGACTTCCTGGTCCCGAGGAGGCTCCGAACTCCACCGCGGCGCAGAGGAAGGCCATCGTGAAGGAGCCGGAGCAGAGCGCCGAGGAGCTCCTGGCGGAGGCCGCGCACACGAGGGATGCCGCCCAGGCCGCGCGCGACAAGGCAGACAGCGTGAGGAAGGCCGCCGAAGAGCGCGCCGCGACGGCCAAGAAGCAGACCAAGCAGGCGGAGGACACGACGAAGAGGGCCCGGGACGCCATCGAGGCGTCGGGGAAACGTAAGACTCGAGTAAGCCAGAACTCGCGTTTGCCGGCGTTTTTTGACGAGCGCGTCCTGGGTTTTGCCGGTCCAGTTTCCGTGGGATGCTCGCAGCGGGAGCCCGCGTCAAATTTCATAGTGGGCTCGTCATTTTTGTGATGGCCCCCGTCAGGCCAACCCGAGTCCCCCGTACCCGAGTCTTATGTCTCCCCGAAGGCGGCCAAGCAGAGCATCAAGGAGGCGAAGGCCCAGATCGAGAGCGCCCAGTCTCTCCACGAGAAGGCGGAGCACGACGGCGCGGCCGCACAAAAGCAGCTCAAGGAGGCCATCGGGGACCAGGGCGCCGCGGACAAGACGATGCAGACCGCCAAGGTGATCGTTTTCTTATTCCTTGTTTTGCCGATCGGCGCGGGCCCTTGCACCCCTCCCCCCCTCCCCCGATGGAGTAGATCTTGGCTGTTTGGGGCGCCTGTTTCAAGCAGGTGGACGGCTCCCCATAGGACTCCACTATATGAGCACTGTTCCAAACAGTCGCAAACTCCGAATAAGAGAACGCTCACAAGGACGAGGAGGAGTCTGCCCTGAAGGCGGCTGCCAAGGCGCGTGCGTGCGTCGATCTTCCTGGGGTGAGGCTGCATAACTGGGGCCCCGAGGACGCGGGGGGCTATCGCCGCATTGTTGATCCGGACAACTACCCTGAGATGGACAGCCTCAGCGCCTGCTCGGAGTGGTGCAAGGCTCACGACGCTTGCGCGCAGGCCGTCTTCTCTTACGTCGGGCTTCCCGAGGGCGGCAACCCGTGCCACATGTATCCTGAGCGCGGCGAGCTCTACGATTTCCGTGACGACTTCAATACATCATGGTGCGGAAGTGCGAACGAGGTGGATCAGATGGTCAAGGATGTGAAGAAGGTGTTCGCTCAGAAGCCCTGGGTCGGCGACAACTACGGCGCCGTCCCGTGCGGCTTCGGTGGCGACGACTGCAGGGAGACCAAGTGCTGTGGCAGCCAGACCTGCGACTGGAGATTCGAGGTCTGCTCGTACTTCAGCTGCATCGTGAAAGACGAGAACTTCGCGGGCTGCGCGGAGACGCCCAAGGACACCCAGTATGTCACCATCCTCGGGGGCGGGCCGCCCGAAGAAGACCTCGGGGCGGCCGAGGAGGGGAAGCTCGTCCACCCTTCCTCGCTGTTCTGCTTCGTGGTCATGATGCCAGGGGCGCACGCGTCGGCCGGGGTTCAACAAGACGAGGGCATATTGGTGGACGTAGCGCGGAAGCACAACGCGAGCATCTTCTCTTGCGATGACCAGCTCGTGATCGAGGGCTACGACGGAGGCGGCGGATCCGAGGCCAACATCGATGAGTTCATCGGCTACTGGGAGAAAGTGAAGGAAGACGGACGTTACATGCTGCACGACTGGCTGATCAAGGCCGACGCTGACACCGTCTTCATGGCGGACCGCGTAAGAGCGCATATCAATAATTTCAGACCGCCAGCCGGCTCCGCCGTTTACTTCAGGAACACTGACTACAAGTTCCACTTCATGGGAGCTTTCGAGATGATGAGCCGAGAGGGCGCTATAGTCTTCTTCGAAAACTCTTACCAGTGCAACGAGAAGATCGGCCACACGGGCGGGGAGGACTATTGGATGAGGTTGTGCCTCGACACACTGGGTCTCCGCCACATCACAGACTACTCGCTGCTGAACGACAAGTATGGCGCGCACGACGGCTGTGGTGACTCGTGGGCCGCGTCGTTCCACTTCTACAAGACCGAGGAGCAGTACATGTACTGCCTCAACGAGATCTGGAACAACCGGTGAGCCCGCCCATCCCGTTCCGCCTGGCAGCCCGCGCTGGCAAGATGGCGCGGACGCCCAGCGGTTTCACACAAATTAAATTGTTCTTGACGCTTTGCGAACCCCCATCAGCCTATCCAGAAGCGATGCCCAGGCGAGTTGCCTTGACCAGGGAAGGGTAAAAGGATGCAGATCGAAATTTCGGATCGGCCTAGGCAGACCGGGACTAAACCGCTTCTGCTTTCGCGGCCCTGTCGAATGAGGATGAGGAGGAGGAGGCGGAGGAGAATGATAGGGAGGGGGCGGGATTGGAGAAATGAAGAGGAAGGGGATGATGATGAGGAGGAGGAGGAGGCGGAGGACGAGGAGGAGGAGGAGGAAGGAGGACGAGGACGAAGATGAAGACGATGGCGAGGAGGAGGAGGATGAGGAAAAGGATAAGGGGATAAGGAGGATGAGAAGGAGGAGGAGGAGGGTTATTGAAAAGGAGGCGAGATGAGGAGAAGGAGGAGGAGGAGGAGGAGGAGGAGGGCCAGTCCAAGCCCAAGACTCATCGACGATGTTTGGAATCCACCCTCACTCCGAGCTCCCTCTTCATAGGCCCCTACAAGGGCTCATGTCCATTGAGGGAACTGCATCGTTGGGAGACAACCTTTTGAAGACCCTGGAGCATGCCCAAACACCAGACTCAGGACTCCAACGCCACGGATCAACCTGATTGTTGCGTTCTCACTATCCTGAATCCTGCCAGAACACCATTCCTAGAAGGTCAACACCGCGAATCAACGTAACTGTGGCACCCTCACAGTCCCGAGTCCGTCCAAAGCACCATTTCTGGTGTGCTGACCATGGGAATCCGTGAAGAGCTTGCAACTGTTTAAACCGAATGTGCGCGACGCTAATGCGAGAGCCACATTTTGAAAACGAATCGCTCTCAATCCGTGAAGCTCCTGCACATTTCTAAGACGAATGTGCGCGGCGCTCACGCAAGAGCCACATTTCGAAAACGAGCCGTCCTCAATCCGTGAAGCTCTTGCAAATTGCGAAGAGGAGTGTGCGCGGCGCTAAGTCGAGAGCCACATTTTGAAAACCGCCCGCCCTCAATCCGCGACTGTGCTCGGCGCTGAGGCGGGATATACACTTTGAAGACCGCCCGCCCTCAACCCGTGAAGCTCTTGCAAACTTTGATAGCGAATGCCATCGGCGCTAAGGCGAGAGCCACATTTTGAAAACCACCCGCCCTCAACCCGTGAAACTTTGCCCAATGTCTAAGCTTCGGGGTCATAGATGGTGAGATAAAGTCTCGGGCGAAAGGCCCGGCCCGCCCTTTCGACCGGCCTCGGGGTGCGACAGGGAAGGGAAAGTAATGGAGGAGAAAGAGGACACAGGAGGAGGAGGAGGAGGAGGAGGAGGAGGAGGAGGAAGAGCAGGAGGAGGAGGAGTACGAGGAGGAGGGAGGAGGAGGAGGAGGAGGTGGAGGAGGAGACATGAAGCAAGGAAAGGGCGAGAAGGAGGAGGGGGCCTTCGCGGATCTTTTGTTGACCGGACCATTTGAAGTTGTTTGGAGCCTTCCTGGAGCCATCTTATGGTCCTCGTGAGGCTGTATCGGAGCCCTTCTGGGGCTGGTTTGGAGGAGTTGTTGGGTCCTCTTGGCTCTTTGTGGGGGTTTCGGGGCTCGCTTGACACCCTCTTAGAGCCCCCTTTGGACACTATCGGGACTCTTCGGGGTCCAAGAGGGCTTCGTAGGCCTATCTTAGCGGCCATCGATGAACACGGGTGGGGTCGTATATGTAACATTCCCATTTAGAGCCTTCAGAGCCGCCTCTTGGACCATATTGGGGTGATATTGAGCGCTCTTTGGGCGGTCCTGGGGCCCTCTTGTGCCACACTTGGGGATCTTCGGGGCCATCTTGCAATAGTCTTGGCGCCTCACAGGCCTATGTTAAGCGACAGGGCAAGACGGCACCAAAAACCGAGCACCACGGCGTTTTTGTTAACGGATTTTGGCTTCATGCGGGGGGGTCATTGTGGAGCTCCGAGGGCACCTTGCGCTGTCTTGCGGCCCTGTGGAGGCCTCGTGGAAGTATGTCGGAGGCGATGTATCTGGGAGAGAGCGTGATCCACCGCCGCTTTACTTTGGAAAATTCCACCCCCTCTTCGTCCTGAACCCGGGCTCCCCCCCCGTCCGCAAATTCCCCCCCCGCTCGAACCCCTCCCCCCCTTCTTCCCCTGGCACCCCCCCACCCACCCCTAACCCCTTTCCCCCCCCCCCCCCTCTCCGGAAAACCGGGAGGTAACCACCAGTTCGAACCCGCCTCCCCCCCCTCCTCCAGAAAAAGTGCGTGGGGGGGTCACTACTGGTTCGACCCCCCCCCTCGCCGCCGGCAAAAGACTCCTGGGTCCTTACCACCGTCCTCACCACCGCCCTCACCACCGTCCCCACCACCACTGTCCCCACCGCTGTCCCACTGCCCCCGCTATTCCCACCACTGTCCCCACTGTCCCCACCAATGCCCCAACCACAGTCGGTCGCACTGTCCCCAGTGTCCCCGCCACTGTCCCCACCGCGGTCCCACTCTCCCCACTGTTCCCGCTGTCCCCACCACTGTTCCCACTGTCCCCACTGTCCCCACCACCGTCCCACTGTCCCCACTATCACCGCCGCTGTCCCACTGAGCTGTCCCACTGTTCCCACCACTTTCCCACTGTCCCCACCACTCTCCCCACTGTACCACTGTCCCATTGTCCCACCACCGTCCTCACCACCGCCCTCACAGCTGTTCCCACCACCACCGTCCCCACCGCTGTCTCACTGTGTTGCCCCACTGTCCACACCGTCCCCACCACTGTCCCCGCTGTTCCCGCCACTCTCCCCACTGTACCACTGTCCCACCACCGTCCTGACCACCGCCCTCACCACTGTCCCCACCACCACCGTCTCCACCACTGTCCCGCTGTCGTCCCCACCACGGCCGTCCCCACCACCGTCCAACTGTCCCCATTGTCCCCACCCCTGTCCCACTGTCCCCACAGTCCCCACCACTGTCACCACTGTCCCCCCCAGTGCCCCCACCATTGTCGCACTACCCCCACTGTTCCCACCACTGTCCCCACCACGGTCCCCACTACCCCCACTCCCCACCACCATCCCCTCCACCGTCCCAACCACTGTCCCCACCAGTCCCTCATCCGGAGTGGGAGAGGAGGGGGAGTCGTTGCGGCGAGGGGGGAGGGGGGGGGTTCGAACTGGCAGTGACCCCCTCCCGGTTTTCCAGGAGCGGGGGTGGGAGTGTTCGAACTGGTAGTGATCCCCCCCGGGCCCCGTTTCATGATGGACCAGGGGGGGGGGTGAGGGGGCGGTTTGAACCCCTAGTGACCCAGTGACCCCGCCTCCCCCATGTTTTCGAGAGGGGGGGGGGGGGCGGTTGGAACCCCTAGTGACCCCCTCTGGTTTTCTGCCAGCATAGGTAGAACACGCTCTTTCGTATTTGGCCGTCTTGTTTCTTTGGGATACGAGCAAGCAGATCTTGACCAGTCTTTGGCTACCGTGAGGCATCTTGGAGGTCACTGGAGCGTCGGAAGCCCTCCGTGGAACGAAACACACAGCATCTGCGGAAACAAATTTGGAAAGAAAAAACCATGTTTTGTTCTCCACCATGTTTTTGTGCCACAGTGAGTGCTTTTGTTCCACGTGCCACAGTGTGTGTTTTGGTGTGTTTTGCTTTGTGCTGTGTGGTTTTCACAGACTGTGTTTTTTGTTGTTCTTCTGTGTGTGCGTTTTGTCCACGAGCCCTCCCGGGCCATCTCTGGGACAGCCCGCGAGCCCGCCCGACCCGCTCCGCCCAGGAGCCCGCCCCCGCAGGCGCGGGCGGACCCCCAGCGCTCTCGCGCGTGATGTGCTGCGCCGGTGCCGCCCCGAGCGCAGAACACGTGCTCAGTTCAGCCAATTCGAGACAAAGGCTCTCAGTCTCGCCAGCGCGGTGTGGTTACCACTGCAAAGCTTCCCCGAAATCGGGGCACGTGCTCGGTTTACACCAGCGAGAGGCAAATGGCTCTTCATGACTTACTGGGCGGCCCGGGCGGGCCTCAGCGGCCGCCCCCGAATTCGGTTCACGTGCTCAAGCAGACTAGCGAGAGGCAAACGGCTCTCTGACCTGCCGGGCGGCCTGGGCGACCCCAGCGCTCAATTCAACCAGGGAGAGACAAAGGCTCTCTGACCTGCTGGGCGGCCGGGGCTGCCTCCGCTGTCGGCTGGGCGAGGGAGCGTCCCCCTTTTGCCGGGAGGCGGCGCACAGCGTCGCAGGCCGCAGGCCGCAAGCCGCAGACAGAGAGTCTCGTAGCCGAATTCCTCCCCGTTGCCGCTGCTCGCTTCTCCATCTCCCCCTTGTCTCCCCCCCTCCCCTCCTGTTCCTGGTCGGTCCACCTCTCAGATGTTCCCCCTTTCTTCTCCTCCCTCCTCCTCTTCCTTCCCCTCCGTCTTCTTCTCCAGCATTGTCCCTCGTCCTCTGATACGCCTACTGGATGATACCGAAGACGCCTACGACGAATCACCGCTTTCTCCTGCCTTTTGGAATCGCCCACGTGGCCGAGCGTTGTGGCAAGAGCTCTGCCAGGCTATCGGACCATGTGTTCCCCCAACCGTTTTGGAAACCCTTCGGGGAACACTGGGGGGAGGATGGCGGGGAAGATCAGGAGAAGGAGGAGGAGAAGGAGGACGAGGAGGGGGCATCTTGCGAGTCTCTTGGAGCACTCTTGGGGCCTCCTGGGAGCTTCCTGAGAGCCTGCTGGAGGCATCTTGGGGGCCTCTTTGGGCCTCTTGGGTGCCTTGGAGGACTTCTCGGGGGCCTGTTTGGCCGACTTAGGGCATTCCTGGCCTGTCTGACGTCGTCGGAAGTCGTCTTGGAGGCCTCTTTGGTCCGACTTGGGGCCCTCTTGGGGTGCTCCAGGGTCGTCTTGGAGGCCATCTTGGGCGTCTTGGAGGCCTCTTGGGCTGTCTTGGGGCCCTCTTGGGGCCGTCTTGGTGGCCTCTTGAGCCGTTCTGGGGCCATCCTGGAGGACTCTGGGGCGATCTTGGGGTGATCGTTGGGGGCTCTTGGGCCGTCTCGGGCCGTCGGAAGGCCGAAAAACAGCAAATGTCAACATCCTTCCAAAACAATGGAGAAGCAATGATTTCGGCCTCTTCGGGCCTTTCTGGAGGCCCTCTTGGAGCCCCCTTGGGCCGTGTCGGAGACCTCTTGGGGGCCTCTTGGGCCGTCTCGCGTCTTGAGGCTGTCTTGGGTGAAACGCTCATTCGTATCATGAGGCGTCTTGGGCTAGGATCCCCACGATCGCGATGAGGATGTCCCGAGCGAAACGGCCGTTTTTGAGGCGTGAGTTGCGCAGCGGCGCGGCCTTTCGCGTGGCCGGCGCGCTGGGCTGAAGCGAAGCCCGAGGCGGAGTTCTTTTGGAGGAAGAACCGACACCAAACCGTAAGACGTTCAGCACGCCAGGCACCCCTGTGAGAAATCAACACGGGGCGGCGGATCGCATGGCCTTCGGCCCATCCCGCCACCGTGCCTCGGTTGTGGGCATGAAGCCTATTGGATGTTTGTTGGGATCTCGTGGGCGGCCTCTCAGGGGCCTCCTGGAGGCAGTTTGGAGGCCTCTTGGGGGCCGTTTTAGGGCTGGAGCCTCTTTTGGGTCTCGAGTGCTCTCTTGGGCTCTCTTGGGGCCTCTGGGGGCCTCTTGGGGGGCCTCTTGGAGCCTCCTGGGCGCCTCTTGAGGCCTACGGGTGTGTTCTTGGGGCCGAAGTCTCGGCATTTTGTTTCGTGCTCTCTCTCTCTCTCTCTCTCTTTTTTTTGTTTCTCTCTCTCTCTCTCTCTCGTTTTTCTTTTTTTTGTTTTTCTCTCTCTCTCTCTCTTGGGCCCCTTTTGGTGCGTCTTGGAGCCCTGTTGGGCCGTCTTGCGCGCTCCTTAAACCGTTTTTGGGCGCTCTTAGGCCGTCTAGGGGCCCTCTTGGAGGCCTCTTTGACCGTTTTGGGGTGGTCTTGGGGGCCTCTTTGGCTGTCATCGGGAAGCCGAAAAGGCGAGAACGCCAGAATCCTTCAAAAACTTGAAAACAATCAATGGTGTGTGCCTCTTGGGCCCTCTTGGGAGGCCTCTTGGAGGCCTCTTGGAGGCCTCTTGGGCCATCTTGAGGCCATCTTGGGCGTCTTGGCACGTTTGGGCGTTTCGGGGCCCTCTTGGGCAGTGATGGTGGCCACTTGGGGCCCTCTTGGCCCGTCTTCGGGCTTCTTGGGTCCAGAAAAGTCTTGCGAGGCCGCGCGGGAAGTCCTAGTAGATTCGAGAATTTGGGTCCTGGACCCCTTACAGACTCCTCAGGGCTGGGGGCTGTGGCTCCAGGGATTAGGCAAAGGACTTAAGGACGCGCCCACTCCGTGCCCAGAGGCACGGCGACGGATTCGAGATATGCTCGTGAGCGTGGACCCCAAACAGTGATTCCGTACAGTATTTGCGGAGCACGCGTGGCGCAATCAACGTGGTGGAGAGTGCACGGTGCAATCCATGCGGATCAGGGTGGTGCAACTAATGTAGTGCAATTCGCGTGGTGCAATCCGTGCGGTGCAACTTATTTGGTGCAATCTATGTGGTGTAAGCTGTGTGGTGCAATTCCCTTTTGACCGTCTTGAAGCTGTCCTCTCCACTGCTCGTGCAAACATTCCACCCTCCCACCCGCAACTTGGTCGCAAGACCTCTTAAGACAAGACCGTGACGGTAGGTACCACATGACACTTGGCCGCGACACCGACGCCGACGACGACAGCGACAACGACAACGACGGCGCCGCCGACACCGACGACGACGACACCGACGACGTCTCCAACGACTTCGACGACGACAGCGACCACGACGACGACGACACTGACGACGACGACGCCGACGACGACGACGATGACAGCGACGACGACGACGCCGACGACGACGCCGACGACGATGACGACGAAGACAACGACGACGACGACAACGACGTCGCCAACGAAGACGACGACGAGGGAGGAGGGAGGACGACGACGGCGACAACGACGACAGCGACGACAACGACGAGGGAGGAGGGAGGACGGCGACGACGCGAACGGTGAAGAAGGAGGAAGGACGGCGACGCCGACGACGACAACGACGAGGGAGGAAGGAAGACGACGACGACGACAACTACGACGACGACGACGACGGCGACGAAATAGGAGGGACGACGACGAGACGCCAACGACGGTCGACGACGACGACGAGGGAGGAGGAGGAAGGACGACCACGGCGACAACGACGACGAAAACGACCACGACGCCAACGAGGACGACGACGACGAACACGAGGAAAGACAGAGGACGACGTAGGCGACGAAGACGACGACGCGGGAGGAGGGAGGACGGCGACGACGACGACGCAAGAGCGCGCGCGCACGTTTTTGTTGAAAATGCGTGTTGCGAAGCCTTGGGTTGTTGTATGTTTTTTGGACACACGATTTGAAATCCTTGCGAAACCGATGGGTTTTGAAGGTTTTCGGCATACGCGCGCGACGACGCGCGCGTCTGCACTTCGTCTCATTTTTACCTAACAGCGAAGACTGATAGGTTTCTAGTAGTGTCAAAAGAGCTCACAGATCACTCCACAGGGGGGTCCGGGCAGGTGTTGGGGCGTTTCCGGGCGGCATGAGCCGGGCTCGTTTTTCACCAACAGTCACACACTTCGTGCTCTTCGCCTTCCCAGAACTCCATTCCCAGGCCACATTCTGGGGGGCCGGATGCAACAGTCACACACAAAGTGCTCTTCGACATCCCAGAACGCCATTCCCGGGCCACATTCTGGGGGGCCGGATGCAACAGTCACACACTTCGTGCTCTTCGAGTTCCCAGAACGCCATTCCCGGGCCACATTTTGGATGCCCGGAGCCAACTGTAGGCCACTTCGTGCTCTTCTATTTCCCAGAACTCCATTCCCGGGCCACATTTTGAATGCCCGGAGCCAACTGTAGGCCACTTCGTGCTCTTCGAGTTCCCAGAACTCCATTCCCGGGCCACATTTTGAATGCCCGTAGCCAACTGTAGGCAACTTCGTGCTCTTCGACTTCCCAGAACTCCCATTCCTGGGCCACATTTTCAGCAGGGGCAAGAGCACGACGAGGAGGAGGACGAGCAAGACCAGGAGGACGAGGACGAGCAGGAGCAGGACGAGGAGCAGGAGGAGCAGGAGAAGAAGTTAAAAAACGAGCAGGTAGGAGGCGAGGAGCAGGGAGAAGCAGGAGAAGAGGACGAGCAGGGAAGGAGGGGCGGGAACGAGCAGGAGGAGCGAGGAACGACCAGGAGGAGGAGGACGACAGGAAGAGGAGGAGGAGGAGGAGGGGAGGGGGAGGTTGTACCAGGAGGAGGAAGAGGAGGTGGAGGAGGAGGAGGAGGAGGAGGAGGAGGAGGGAGGAGGAGGTAAGAGGAGGAGGAGGAGGAGGAGGAGGAGGGGGGGTGAGAGTACCAGGAGGAAGGAGAACGGGACCCACCAGGAGGAGGAGGAGGGGTGAGGGGGGAGGGGTACAGGAGGAGGAGGAGGAGGAGGAGGATGGAGGAGGGAGGAGGAAGGAGGAGGAGGAGGGAGGAGAGGAGGAAGGACGAGGACCGAGGAGGAGGAGAGGAGGGGGGGGGAAAAGAGTAACCAGGAGGAGGGGACGAGGACCACCAGGGAGGAGGAGGAGGAGGAGGAGGAGGAGGAGGAGGAGGAGAGAACACCAGGAGGAGGAGGACGAACAAGACGAGGAGGACGAGAACGAGGACGACCAGGAAGAGGAGGAGGAGGAGGAGGAGGAGGAGGAGGGGAGGGGGAGGACTACCAGGAGGAGGAGGAGGAGGAGGAGGAGGAGGAGGAGGAAGAGGAGGAGGAGGAGGACGAGGAGGAGGAGGAGGACGAGGAGGAGGAGGGGGGGGGAGAGCACCAGGAGGAGGAGAACGAGGACCACCAGGAGGAGGAGGAGGAGGAGGAGGAGGAGGAGGCGGAGGAGGAGGAGAGAGCACCAGGAGGAGGAGGACGAGCAAGACGAGGAGGACGAGAACGAGGACGAGCAGGAGGAAGAGGAGGAGGAGGAGGAGGAGGAGGAGGAGCAGGAGAAAGAGGAGGAGGAGGAGGTGGAGGAGGCAGGCTGAGGCTGAGGCTGTGACTGCGACTGCCGTTGCCGCTGCGACTGTCATCGCGAATGCGACTACGACTGCGAGAACAGCAGAATTCGACAACTGGATTTTCATCTGAATCTTAAGGGGAATGCTTTCAGATATGCTTCTACACATCGCTGTTAGGTTGCTTTGCCGGGATAATTTGAAGAGGATTCTCGCGGCGGCACACGCGCAAGGGCGTTCGACAGATTTCGACATGCGCGCGCGAAGCCCGTTTAATAGCAT